CTGAGTTATTCTGAAGCTGGGATTTAGGAACGTTCTTTAAATTTTAGTTTGGATGTTTACACAGTTGAGAAGGATGCATGCCCATGTAGAACACTGATTAGGGTGGGAGAGGTCAAGGAATAAGGGAAAGTGGATGAGACCACTGTTTCCAATTTTCTTTTTCTTCTTCCTGTATCTGGGCTGAGAAGGGGAGAAGCTGCACCCAGCACCCTGGGATGGGAGATGGCCGCCTGATGTCATCCCGGGGTCCCTGGTGTGGGGCATGCTTTGAGGGTACTACTCAAGTGCTGTTGACGTCACTGCTCCAAGGATGAGGAAAGCCAAGGCCTGTTGGCTGACATAACCCACCTTAGTCTCCATTCGCCCACGTATTTGCTGTTGAGGCTTGACTTAGAGGGCTGTCCAGTGTGTTCTGCCCTCTATCCTCTGCTATGGTACTAGATGTCCTCTGCAGATCCCAATGAACTGTGACATCCCCATGTGTGTCTGAGCATGCTGTCCACTGCACAGACATTAGCAACTGAGGAGGCCCAGTTCTGATACATGTACTCCACAGTCAAACCACAGATCCTGTGATTTTTTCCCCTGTGTTTGCAGCTTTGAGTCCGGGGGTCCAATTAGTAGGGTCTCCAAAGAAACCTCACTGAAGTGACCCCAGATCTGACACCTGTGTGTGCGAGCCAGAATGGGCCTGGAAAAATATAGAAAAGGACCCAAGAACTTGCGCCATTGATGGTTGCAGTTGCTGAGTCAGTTCTGTCCCCTGCCCCATCTCCCACACAAACCAATGGATACTGTGGTCCAGCCTAAACCTGCCCACCACACAATGAGCCCTCACATATATCAGTGGGAACTGCAGCCCAGTCGGAGTGATTCCCAATAACCTCCACCAGGCCCATCCCTAGTCATGGTTCCTGCACATGCCAATATGTGCAGCAGACTGATTCGTTCTGTCTCATATTCCATTTGGCTTTTGTACACCCAATGGGTGCTGTATCCTTGCTCATCCCATCTGACCCCACTACCCAGCTCACACTCATCCTGGCAGTGCTACCATCTGTCTAGCCAGGTCTGTCCCCAGCTTTGGTTCTCATGCTCACTGGGGGTTGCAGCCCATCAGAGAAGTGTCCACGGTCTCCCTAGTAGGCCCATTCCCAGCCCCAGATCTTGCACTTTCCAGGTGGTTCTGTGGTCTAACTTGACAGGACTTGCCCTCATTCCCAGCACTTGCCAGCTGATGCTGGTGCAAAGCTTGAACAGCCTGCATGTAACTCTGGCGCATGCGTGCACCAATGGATATGCTCACTTAGCCCAGCCTGGCTCTCCCACTAACCCACTCACATGCATGCAGACAGGTGTTGGAGCCCTGCCCAGCCTGGTCTGCTCCAGGTCCCAGTTCTAACGCTCACCAGCAGGAGCGATGGCCCAGCAGGGGAGTCCCTACTGCTCCCCTACTCAAGTCTTTCCTGTAGTTTGTTGGTACCACCCACCTCAGCTTGACACTCACCATCAGGTGCCCCTAGGCCTGGCTCTCTTGTGCACTGGCTAGTGTCATAGCCCAGCCTAACACTCACTGCCAGGTAGATCCTCAACCCTAACTTTAACATGTGCCAGTGATTGGTGATCAGGGGTGGTTGATGTTGGCTAGCCCAGCTCAGGTCTTTCATGTGGGTGGGTACTTCAGTCTGATCCAGAAAGGTCCTCTAGCTTCCCCCTTCCAACTGCTCAATGCCCCTCGCGTGCCTGCTAGTACAGTGGCCTTGGCAGTGGAAGTCTTCCAGAAGGCATTCCTCACTTGTAACATGCTCCCTCATTGCTGCTCCCTCCCATGCATCCCATACTCCCTTTCCTGGTCAATCCACAGCCCCTATGCCCATGCGCACATGGATTACCCAGCCTTGTCTTCTGGTGGGGCGATGTGCTGGCCTGAAGCCACCCGCCACCTGGGATCCTACATCCAGTCCTCTGACACGTGTGCTGGCCTGAGACCCTGCCCTTCCATCCAGCTGGGACTCAAGCATATATGTTAACAAGTGCCCAAAGCCCAGGCCACCAGCACGCCAGCCTGGAGCCCAAACACTTCATCTCCTTCCCACCAGCCTGGGACTCACAGATGCAGGGGAGTTCCCAGGCCAGCTCTGTGCCGCCAGGCCCCAGTGTGAGCCCCCAGAGGCTGCCTAGGTGCCCAGGGGAAGGAGGTGCCTAGGTGCGCAGTGGAAGGTGATCCAGGAGCTTCTTTCCAGCCTCCCACATGGGAGCAGGGGTCCAAGGCTTTGGGCCATCCTGCACTGCTTTCTCAGGTCATAAGCAGGAAGCTGGATCAGAAGTGCAGCAGCCAGAACATGAACAGGTGCCCGTATGGGATGCTGTTGCTTCAGGAGGAGGCTTAACGTGCTACACCACCACACTGGCATCTCCATGAGTTTTTTAAGCCTGCTGGTATATATTTCTACGGTCATACTCCAACATACACACAACTAGAAATATTACCAACGCACATGAAATATACAAATATAAATATATAAAAAAATATATATTTCATGGGTGTTGGTAATATATAATATTATATATAATTATATATAATGTGATTATATTATAATATATAAGTATATATAATACATAACATATGTAATTTATACTATATGTATATTCTTTGGTTTACCCTCCAGACATGGAGGCTGAATCAGGTTAAATGCCGGGAGATTGGAATTCCACTGGGTTTCCTGTGCGTGGCAGTAAGTCCAAGTTCTTGGGCCACTTGCTATATTTTTTCCAGGCCCAGCAGGTAGTTGGACAGGAAGTAGGACAGCAGGACTCAAAGAATCTGTCACAGGATGTTGTCATGGCAAGTTGCTACCTTGCAATGCTGGCCTCCTATTTGTGTGTCTTTTTGTCGTTATTTTAAAACAGATTTGTGTAGTTATTGAAAGGTGGAGTTAGAGAAACAGAGAGAGAAAGAAGCTTCATCTGCTGTGTCACTCTACAAATGGCTAGAGAGAGACACAGAGAGAGAAGAAGGGGCGGGAGGCATTTTTCATTTGCTGATTCATTCTAAAAGTGGCTGCAGTGGCAGGCCTGGGCCAGGCTGAAGCCAGGAGCCAGGAGCCAGGAGCCAGGAGCCAGGAGCCAGGAGCCAGCTTCCTCTGTGTCTCTCACACAGGTGCAAGGGTTTAAGTACTTGCATCATCTTCTGCTTTCTTAGGAGCATTAGCGGAGAGCTGGATTCAAAGTGCAGTAGCTGGGACTAGTCCATGCTCCTGTGGGATGCCAGTGTCACCATCTCGCTCTTCCACCGTCTTGGCTCCTATGTTACTCTGAACAGAATGAATGCACACCTTGCTGCAGATGCTCCTGGCACCTCAGTCAAGTCCTGGCTGCTTTGGGTTTTAGAGGCTTTTCATTCTCACATGTGCTCAGTGCAGACTGGGTAGACTACTTTGTCCTTTGAAACGTTTAAAGAAACATTTCATTTGTTTTATTTGAAAAGGAGGCTTATGGTGACAGGAGGGTAGAAGAGTGAGAGATCTCTCTGCTAGCTCACTCGCCAAATGGCCAAAAAGGTCAGGGTTTAGCCGAGCTCATGCCAGGAGCCTGGAAGTTCCATGGTGTCTACGGGTTGCAAGGACCTAAGTGCCCGGTTTGTCCTTTGCTGCCTTCCAGGCAAAAGACAATGGAATTGGAGCAGATGGGACTTGAACCGGCACACATCTAGAGATGTGCTGAGAAGTTTGTACTCTTCCGTGTGCAAGCTGGAGCACTGCCCAACTACTGACATCTGGGCGGCCCCTGGGGACAGAGGTGATGATAACAGTGGCTAAGAGGAAAGTTCTGGAGCCCGCAGGGGGTGCCATGTTCACTGGAGCTACCGGTCACAGCCTGACCCCGGGGGTCATTTGGGGAATGGATCTCTGATGGATGCTCTCTCTCTCTCTCTCTCTCTCACTCTCTTTTTAAAATATATGCACACATTCTTTTTTAAATTTTATCCTACCACTCCTCTGGGATTTCCCTTCCCTTTCCCCAAGTTCTCTGTCCCTACTCATTTCCTCTATATTATTACAATGGTGTAGTCCTTCGCAATCAGCCACAGGCCCGTGCTTCTGCTGTTTAAGTGTATCCTGACATTGTGGGTCCAAGACAGTGGCAGAGAGTCCAGCATCCTATTATCAGGATGCAGTTAACAGCTTCGTTGGGAGTCTATCTTTAATCTGGAAGCAGAGATGCATCCTGCCGTGTAGCCTCACATCTGGATATGGTAGTCTCCATATGGCAACACAGTTACCATACAGTCCCTTAAATGAAAGCCGCAGTACAAACTCAACAGCAGAAAGAAAAACAGAAAATTAACAACCTGAAGTTAAATCACATGTACAATTTATTTATTTATTTATTCATTAAGACAAACGATGCCGGAATCAGGTCCCCTTTAGAATCTTGGCTTTACCACTTCCAATATTGTCATCTCGGGCAGCTCCTTTTATTTTTCTGTTTCATTAATTTTGGGTTCAGAAACGGGGGCTGCATCCAGAGGCTGCAGTATAGATAAAATTAAGTTTCGACTTGAACAGAGAGCAAATGTCAGGAGGAGGTCTGACCTCACCACCAGGGACTTCTGAGAAGTCACCGGTTCATTTTCTTTCCCCCTCTGGTTCCCTAGGACAATCCTGCCGCATTCGATTTAAGCCAGTTTGCTATCCGCGGTCTGCACAAAGAAAAAACGTACTCTGCCTCATCTCGGGGGAGATCTCCGGTGGCTGTGAGAGGCATCCTAAGCGTTAGCGACCACAGCAGGCGCGTTCTTCTCGCCTTGATTCCGCCCAGGCGTTGGTGAGGGCGTGTCACGCGCTCCCCGCCCCGGCTCGCTGAGTTTCACTTTCCATCCGGTGGGAAACGAAAGCCTGGCGGTGGCTGCGCGCCCGGCGCGCGAGCTGCGCGGCTCCTCCTTCCTCGGCTGAGCTCTCCCGCAGAGCTGGCCACGGCGGCGCAGGCATCATAAGGAGCGCTGGACGCTGGACCTTTGAGGCAAAATCGGGCTGATTTGATGAGTTTTCTTCTGGAAAGACGCTAGCAGTACGGCTGCCTGCTGGGTAAGTGAGGGGCTTGGACTCAGCAAATGATGATAGTGAGTGGTTATCACAGCATTCATATATTGGATCAATGGCTTTGCTGTGCCTTCCTTTAAAAAAAGAGTTAAAAAGTATTGCAAGCCTGTAAAAATATTTAAACATCGTAAAAAAAAAACATTGTAAAGTAGTAACAGACGTTTTTCTCAATCTGATATCATTTTTGTGTGTGTAACTTGTCAAGAAGTTTCTACAATGCACACCTGTAAAACTGATTTATAATTCGCGTTTTTTCCACTTAATAGTATATTTGGAACATCTTTTAATGAAAGACAGGGATTGATCAATGGTATTTCTTAAAGCTGATAAACAATGTGTGTTTAAATGAGGCCAGGACACAGTGTTAACTGGTGTAGGTAATGCAACGATGAATATTTCTTTATATGCATTTTCTCACAAAGGTATGGATATATGTGACAAGTTCCTCAAAGTAGCAATTCTGGGTTAATAGGTGCATGCATTGACACGGTTTTATGATTTTGTCAAAGGAAGGAACAAGAGTATTTTAGTTTTAAGCCCTGTTACATGTTCCTCCCCTTTTCCTAGGAAGAGAGCCAAATGGAGCTTTAAATGTAAAATACCGTTCTAAGACCTATGAAATTCCATGTTCAGTGTACTTGAACATTAATGCAGGGTCTTTAATTTCATATTTCACAACGCTCGGGTGGATTACTTTGAAATTGTTCCAGAAAATCAAGCAAGCAACTATTTTAAAACATATTTTTACTCTTTTTTTTTTAAATTGTTTTTTGATACAATTTAGTTGGCACTGGGCTCTCCCTTGCCCCTCTCGCAAATTCTCTCCCTTTATTTTAAAACATTTAAAAATGTTTCTGGCCTGGCGCAGTAGCCTAGTGGCTAAAGTCCTTGCCTTACATGTGCCAGGATCCCATATGGGTGCCGGTTCTAATCCCGCGGCCCCACTTCCCATCCAGCTCCCTGCCTGTGGCCTGGGAAAGCAGTCGAGGACGTCCCAAAGCCTTGGGACCCTGTGCCTGCGTGGGAGACCTGGAGGAAGCTCCGGGTTCCTGGCTTTGGATTGGGGCTCAGCACCAGCTGTTGTGGCCACTTGGGGAGTGAATCAGCAGATGGAAGAGCTTCCTCTCTTCTCCTCCTCCTCTGTGTTTATCTGACTTTCCAATAAAAATAAATCATTAAAAAAAATCAAACGCATTTCTTAAGAAGCTTTCTTGTTGGTGTTACATTGCGCAGTGAGGTGAGTGTTGAGTGTCTGGGTGTCCTGTGTTTGCATAATGCAATTACAAAGGAGCGTAGCATCAGTGTGCCGCTCCGTCTTAAATATTTACTTATTTTTATTTAAAGCAGATTTACAGAGAGAAGGAGAGACAGAGAAAGATCTTCCATCTGCTGGTTCACTCCCCAAGTGGCTGCAATGGTCAGAGCTCAATTTATCCCAAGCCTCAGGAGCCAGGAATCTCCTCTGGGCCTCCTATGTGGGTGCAGGGGTCCAAGGCTCTGGGCCGTCCTTGACTGTTTTCTCCCAAGCCACAAGCAGAGTGCTGGAAGGGAAGTGGAGCAGCTGGGACACGAACTGGCGTCCATAAGGGCTCCTGGCATTTGCAGGCAAAGGATTAGTCAGTTGAACCATGACACTGACTGCCTAGCTCCAACTTGATTTAGGAAACAATCTGAGAATGAAAACAGAAGGCTTTTTTTCTGGCTTCTCTTATTCATGGCTACAGGTGATTAGCACAGTCTCGGTACTTGTGCACGGTGATGGGCTTACGGAGGACGTGTTTCCGTGTAAGCATAGCCTCAGGAGGTGAATTCCACTCCTTCCAGGAGGCCGTCTGTGGATGGACTCAAGGACTTTGCCCAAGGACTCACTATTTTGGATTTCATCTGTTGCGTCCAGCATATTACTATAATTGCTCAAAGAGTGCCAATGTGTGAACAAGTCATTAAAAATGAAATCTAAATCTGTTACTGCCATGGTAAAGTGAATATGGAAGCCAGTGAGGCTACTTTAAATTATTCTTATGATTCCCCCTACATGTACATTTTTTTGCTCTCAGGGCATTTGAAGTTGAAATCAGTTCTTCTTCCGCCAGTCTAGCTGTGAGTTGAAGAGGCAGAGACTACGGCGGGTGTTCCGTGTCCCATCCTGGCTTTTTTGTTCTCTTTCTGCATGAGTCTGTGGCTGTTGTGGTGGTGAGATTATGCTAGCTATTGCTGTCATGCACATCTGCCTCTCACTAAAAAAGGAGTTTGTTTATTTGAAAGGCCGAGTTACAGAGAGAGAGAGAGGGAGAGAGGAAGAGAAAAGGAGAAAGGAGAGAATCTTTCATCATTTGTTTCCCACATGGCCCAAGTGGTTGGGCTGGACCAGGAACCAGGAAATCCATCCTGATCTCCCACATGGGAAGCAGGGCCGTATGTTCAAGGGTCATTTTTTTCTGCTTCTTGCCCGGGCCCAGTAGCAGGAGCTGGATCAGAAGAGCAGCTGGGTCTCCAACCATCACTGCAGGTAGCAGCTTAACCCACTGAGCCAGCTAATTGAACCATAGAATGAATTGATTTCAACTCTAGGTACCCCACTATGCTGCTGAACATTTTAAGCTATTCTTACTCAGCTGCCCCCGTAGCTGTTCATGGATTCTCTTCATCCCGCTTCCTCTGTCACCCATCTTAGACCCCGGCAAGTCCTGTTCTCTCCTTTTAATCATAAAACTTTGAAGAAGGTAAGGATTTAAGTTAGTGTAATACTTTGCATACATGTAGTTTTTTTTTTTTAATGGGTTGAGTTTGGCCATTCACCCTCTATGCCCCTTTCTCTGGGGGATGTCTGTTTCATCTGTGCCATCCTTTAGCATCCTCTGCACTGCCTCTGCTTTTCTCTTTTCTTCCTTGGACCTTTAAGTTTCACTTTCCTGCCCCCCCCCCCTTGCTCCACCTACTTGTCTCCCTGTGTGATCAGCCCTCCAAGCTTGCTGCATTTTTTCCCCTTGTTGCCTCTTTAGGACCAGTCCCGCGGGCCCGTGTCAAGGATATACCCACTGGGTTTTGGGCTGTCTTTGGTCTTGGCAGGATCATGTCTGGGAAATGTGGCTGGCTCGTCTTTGCCTGGTTCATCCATTTTCCCTCGGAGATAGTCTCCAATACTGACTTGCGGCTGACGGAAATCACTGTACTTTCAGCTTCCTCTCTCCTGGCTTGGCCTCATAAGCGAACCAGCTATTTATAACTGTTTTCTTAAATAATAAAACATCGACCCATAAATTGTACATTTTTATAGGATACAGTGTGATATGCAGTGTCTGTGTGTCAAATGTGGTGATCAGATCAGGCTAATTGGCGTATCATCTCAGTCATTGTTTCCTCCTGCTGGGAACATTGAAATCTTCTCAACTTAGTTTGAGGTGTACAATTATTGGTTTCTGCAGAGATCCCGTATGCTGTCATTCGAAATTGTTCTTCGTGGTCAGCCGCCCCCGTACCTGGAACCTGGTTCTGTTCTTTCCCCTGCCTCTCTCGTCCTTCTTGGCTCTGGTAACCGCCATTACGTCTACTTCCTTGAGATAAGCTTCTCTCTCTCTCTCTCTTTTAGCTTCCGCTTATAAACGCAAACCTGCAGTAGTTTTCTGTGACTTATTTCGCTTAGTAAATGTCCTCTGAGCTCACGCATGTGGCTGTAGTTGACGAATGTGAGTATTCAAGGCTGAATAGGATCCTCTTGTGACGATGTGGCTCACTTGATCGATCCATTCTGCTATTGATTCTGCGCGTTGGTTATTGGCCACCGTAACTATTGGAGTACGACTGTCTCCTCCGCATCCTGGTTTCCTTTGGAAAGCTTCCCAGCCGTGTGATTTTGAAGACTCTCCGTACGGTTTTTCTTAATGGTCATTCTAATTTACATTTGCACCAGGAATTTCCTTTTCTCTGCATCCTCCCCACCGTTCTTAGTTTTGCCTTTTTTTTTCTTTCTTTTTTTTTTAATTAAAGCATGAATTGTATAATCCAGCTTGCGTTTACTTGCCGTGATCGGTTCTGTCCCGTAAAACAGAGCTGACATTCTCACCAATCCCACAGCAAATAATCACAGGAAATGATTAAAGGAATGTTCTAAATTTTTGTATGTTGCTGAAAAATTCTTTCTAGGGTCCATAAAACATTGATTTGTTTTTATGTTTTCACTTTTTTTGTGCTTTAAGTCAGTAAGTAATCTGGGACTAACATTGCACTTGCTAGATCTAGCGTTTGCTTTGACACATAAGGCTAAAAATTTCCCTTTTAAAAAACTGTATTTTGCAAATTTTCAATAATATTTAAGTCTTTTGATGTTTAAATCTCTTTTATGTTTTTGATAATATCCATTCTTTAAAAAATTTTAAGGCTCCTTTGTAAGCTGAGGATATCACATACACATGGGACATGGGACCTCTGAGATCGTATTCAAGAAGATCTTCGCTCAGAAAAAAAATTCTGTGCTCAGGAATTTCCCCTTTTTTTCTGGCTAGCGTCCTAGTTTGGGTCATATATTTAATCCCTTTTGAATTGGCTTGGTGCATGGTAAGAGATAAGGGGAAGAGAACCTGCTTTTTATCTATATAAATACAACTATATAATTTTCCCAGAACTGCTCAGGAAAGTGTGCTTTTTCCAATGCGTGGTCTTTGTGATTTTGTCCCAGATTCCTTGGTGGTCAACTTGTAGGTTCATTTCTGTGTTATTCCGTTGCACTGCTATTTGTGATTCTTCATGGCAGTCCCTGCTGTTTTGTTGCAGTTTGTGGAGTGCGTGGTGGGAGGACACGTCCAGCTCTTTCTCAGGATTGGTTTGGCTTTTCCGACTGTTTTGTGATTCTCTAAGAGTATTTTGTCTCTTTCTCTGAAGAACACCATATATGTATTTTGATAGGCATTGCACTAACATAAAAAAATCTCTTTGGACAACCGTGCCATTTTCATATTCATTCTTCCAATCCGTGAACGTGAGGCATC